CTGTTCAAATAAACTATTGCAGAAAGGTATTGTGCGTCACTGCATAACCATGTGTTTTGACATCTGTACCATTAACATACGTGTGAGCATTCGGGTTCGTGGGCTCCATCTTGTTTATTTTTTTTCATGATTTTTGACTATAAAATATAGTTTAATAGATCTACAGTAATACTCTATACATACACTATGCACCGTTTTCGACCCACTAAGGGTCTGCGAAGGTCGCTGCTTGGAGCACTGCGATTCCTCGCTCCCCGCGACGATTTCGAAAACGTCATCGCGCGGGGCGTGGCCAACCTTCAGCGCCTTGGTTTAAGGTGGTTGATGTTGGTTAATGTTGGTTTCTGAGTATTTATGAGCCCCATTCACATCATGTTTTTGTTTGTTTTCTTTCAATGGATGTTGGTTTAAGGTGGGTTGATGTTGGTTAATGTTGGTTTCTAAGTATTTCTGAGCCTCATTCACATCATGAATATTTATGGATGTTGGTTTATGGTGGTTGATGTTGTTTAATGTTGGTTTCTGAGTATTTACGAGCCCCTTTCACATCATGAATATTTATGGATGTTTATGGTGGTTTATGTTGGTTAATGTTGGTTTATAAGTATTTATGAGCCCCATTCACATCATGAATATTTATGGATGTTTATGGTGGTTTATGTTGGTTAATGTTGGTTTCTAAGTATTTATGAACCCCATTCACATCATGAATATTTATGGATGTTGGTTTATGGTGGGCTGATGTTGGCTAATGTTGGTTTCTAAGTATTTATGAACCCCATTCACATCATGACTATTTATGGATGTTGGTGTATGGTGGTTGATGTTGGTTAATGTTGGTTTCTACGTATTTATGAGCCCCATTCACATCATGAATATTGTTTGATGTTGGTTTATGGTGGTTGATGTTGGTTAATGTTGGTTTCTAAGTATTTATGAACTCCATTCACATCATGAACATGTATGGATTGATGTTGATTAATGGTGGTTTCTAAATATTTTTGAGCCCCATTCACATCATGAATATTTATGGGTGTTGGTTTATGTTGGTTGATGTGGTTTAATGTTTGTTTCTAAGTATTTATGAGCCCCAATCACATCATGAATATTTATGGTTGTTGGTTTAAGTTGGGTTGATGTTGGTTAATGTTGGTTTCTAAGTATTTTTGAGCCTCATTCACATCATGAATATTTATGGGTGTTGGTTTATGTTGGTTGATGTGGTTTAATGTTTGTTTCTAAGTATTTATGAGCCCCAATCACATCATGAATATTTATGGTTGTTGGTTTAAGGTGGGTTGATGTTGGTTAATGTTGGTTTCTAAGTATTTTTGAGCCTCATTCACATCATGAATATTTATGGATGTTGGTTTATGGTGGTTGATGTTGGTTAATTTTGGTTTCTGAGTATTTACGAGCCCCATTCACATCATAAATTTTATGGATGTTTATGGTGGTTCATGTTGGCTAATGTTGGTTTCTGAGTATTTACGAGCCCCATTCACATCATGAATATTTATATATATTTATGGATGTTTATGGTGGCTTATGTTGGTTAATGTTGGTTTCTAAGTATTTATGAACCCCATTCACATCATGAATATTTATGGATGTTGGTTTATTGTGGTTGATGTTGGTTAATGTTGGTTTCTTATTATTTATGAATCCCATTCACATCATGAATATTTATGGATGTCGGTTTATGGTGGTTGATGTTGGTTAATGTTGGTTTCTAAGTATTTATGAACCCCATTACATCATGAATATTTATGGATTTTGGTTTATGGTGGTTGATGTTGGTTAATGTTGGTTTCTCAGTATTGATGAACCCCAATCACATCATGAATATTTATGAATGTTGGTTTATGGTGGTTGATGTTGGTTAATGTTGGTATCTGAGTATTTATGAGCCCCATTCACATCATGAATTTTTATGGATGTTGGTTTATGTTGGTTGATGTTGGTTAATGTTGGTTTCTACGTATTTATGAGCACCATTCACATCATGAATATTTATGGATGTTGGTTGATGTTGGTTAATGTTGGTTTATACGTATTTACGAACCCCATTGACATCATGACTATTTATGGATGTTGGTTTAAGTTGGGTCGATGTTGGTTAATGTTGGTTTCTAAGTATTTATGAGCCCCATTCACATCATGATTATTTATGGATTTTGGTTTATGGTGGGTTGATGTTGGTTAATGTTGGTTTCTCAGTATTTATGAGCCCCATTCACATCATGTTTTTGTTTGTTTTCTTTCAATGGATGTTGGTTTAAGGTGGGTTGCTGTTGGTTAATGTTGGTTTCTAAGTATTTTTGAGCCCCAATCACATTATGAATATTTATGGATGTTGGTTTTTGTTGGTTGCTGTTGGTTAATGTTGGTTTATAAGTATTTATGAGCCCCATTCACATCATGAATATTTATGGATGTTGTTGTATGTTGGTTGATGTTGGTTAGTGTTGGTATCTGAGTATTTATGAGCCCCATTCACATCATGAATATTTATGGATGTTGGTTTATGGTGGGTTGATGTTGGTTAATGTTGGTTTCTAAGGATTTTTGAAGCCCAGTCACATCATGACTATTTATGGATGTTGTTTTTTCGTGGTTGATGTTGGTTAATGTTGGTTTCTTATTTTTTCAGCCCCATTCACAACATGAATATTTTTTGGATGCTGGTTTATGGTGGTTGATGTTGGTTAATGTTGGTTTCTAAGTATTTATGAGCCCCATTCACATCATGAATATTTATGAATGTTGGTTTATGTTGGTTGATGTTGGTTAATGTTGGTTTATAGGTATTTTTGAGCACCATTCACATCATGAATATTTATGGATGTTGGTTTATGGTGGTTGATGTTGGCTAATGTTGGTTTCAAAGTATGTGTGAGCCCATTTCACATTATGAATATTTATTGATGGTGGTTTATTGTTGGTTAATGTTGGTTTATGTTGGTTTCTCAGTATTTATGTCCCCATTCACATCATGAATATTTATGGATGTTGGTTTATTGTGGTTGATGTTGGTTAATGTTGGTTTCTAAGTATTTATAAATCCCATTAACATCAGGAATATATATGGATGTTGGTTTATGGTGGTTGATGTTGGTTAATGTTGGTTTATAAGCATGAACTATTGGATGAACTAGATCATGAACTATAGAGATGATATGTCTATGATCGAAGGAAGTTTAGAAGTCAAACTTCCGACAATATGGACAGATTAAAAGCAGAGCAGGGCAGAGGCAGAGAGAAGAGAAAGATTACAAAAGAGAAGAGTAGAAGAGAAAGAGTCAGAAGAGATGCGCGAAAAGCGAAACACTGTGTTTTTCCAATGATTTGAGGCTCCGAGCGGCGGGTGCGGAGCCAGCTGGCCAGATGAGAGATGAAAAATTGCACGCCGTTGTGGCGCGAAGCACATTTCGAAGTGAACATGTACAAAACACCTCAGTGTCGGACCACTTTTGGAAGTTGAGATGTCGAAAAAGTGCACGCCGTCGTGGCGCGAAGCACATTTCCAAGTCAAAATGTACAAAGCACACCAGGTTCGGACCACTTTTGGAAGTTGAGATGTCGAAAAAGTGCACGCCGTTGTGGCGCGAAGCGCATTTCCAAGTCAAAATGTGCAAAACACACCACGTTCGGACCACTTTTGGAAGTTGAGATGTCGAAAAAGTGTACGCCGTTGTGGCGTGAAGCACATTTCCAAGTCAAAATGTACAAAACACACCATGTTCGGACCACTTTTGGAAGTTGAGATGTCGAAAAAGTGCACGCCGTCATGGCGCGAAGCACATTTCGAAGTGAAAGTGTACAAAACACCTCAGTGTCGGACCACTTTTGGAAGTTGAGATGTCGAAAAAGTGCACGCCGTTTCGGCGCGAAGCACATTTCGAAGTCAAAGTGCGAAAAACACCTCAGTCTCGGACCACTTTTGGTTGGATAGATAGATGGATAGATAGATAGATAGATAGCTAGATAGATGGACAGATAGATAGATAGCTGGATAGATAGATAGATAGATAGATAGATAGACAGATAGTTAGATAGATAGATAGATAGATAGGTAGAGAGGTAAATAGGTAGATAGGAAGATAGGTATGGATCGATAGACAGCTAGATAGATAGGTAGATAGATAGGTAGATGGACAGATGGATAGATAGATAGATAGATAAACAGATAGATAGATAGATAAACACATAGATAGATAGGTAACTAGATAGATAGATAGATAGATAGATAGATAGACAGATAGATAGATAGATAGGTAGATAGATAGATAGATAGATAGGTAGTTAGATAGATAGGTAGGTAGGTAGGTAGGCAGGTAGGTAGGTAGGCAGGTAGGTAGGTAGGTAGGTAAATAATCAGAGAAAGAGAAAGAAAGAGAGAGAGAGAGAGAGAAAGAGAAGAGACCTGTCGCTCCATCAGTGGCTTCGCTCTGCCGCCTTGTGCCTGTGCGGTACTACTGGTAAGTCCGTTCTTGGAGTTATGTTCACCAACTTTGCTATTTTGGGGGCCCCACTTTGTTATTTTGGTTACGGAGTTATCCCTCATCTTCCAGGTCCCTGTCAACCCCATGATGTTTCGCCCCGGTGACCTTTTCTAAAACGTTAGCCTGGAAGGCTAGCGTGTAGTGATCCATGAATCTCCACCATTTTTGGGATGATCTTTCAAGTTGTCTCCGCGTCTCGATCTTTGGAGCTCCAGTTCTTGGTGGATTTCACTGATTTTAAACAAGATCCAAAAAACCAGAAACCCTAAAGATCCATAACCATAGAATGGGTTAACAAGAACCCATTCTAAAGTCTTTGGTTTAATATTTTGGAAGGGTTAACACATGGTTTTGGATCCAGAAAAGAATGAGGCTATTGGAGAAGGTCACGTGGCTGAGAACATCAGCTTTCCAAAATCACATAGTAAACAGCCATCAATGGTCTTGGATCCAAACTGATGGGGCTTTTAGAGCTCCAAAATGGATTGATCATTAGTTAACAAATAGTTCAGCAGTTGTTTTCGGTTCTTCCGAGATTCTGTCTATATGAAGTTCCGCTGTTTTGCTACTGCGGTATCCATCGGTTAAGTTAATCCAACGTGGACGTGCTCTCGATGGCATTTAATCAATTCATCTTGTGCATGGAAGCGCAAACATGTCATCAGTTTGGTGATGAAATTGATCTCTATGTTGTTCGTTGAAAGATTGAAAAGAACGCGTTTTTTTCAACAAAGAAGGGCGGAATAGTTGGCTCATGTTGGCTCTAGAATTTATTGCTGAAATTTAGCCCGTGTTTATTTGTTGAAGAATTTGAACAGCATTTAGCAGCATCTCAACGATGCCCTTGGAGGTTGGATATCCCAATGAACCATGCAGATTCACCAATCGCAACGTCTGATGGACCATCACTGTTGCTGATCTCGTTCCAAGATGTTCTAAGGTCGTGATAATTCACCCAGGCGTATACCTCACCAGTTTTTTTGACTACCTGGTACCCGTGCATGCTGGTTTCATGTCCATGCGTTTGCTTCAAAATCATTCGAAGCTCCCCTTTTGAGTAGCAACGTCACCAATCACTAGTCGTCCCTAGATAGCCCCCCTCAGCCACGTGTTGATGGCTCAAACAGCAACAAAAAGATCTGGAACACTAGATAGATAGGAAGTGAATCGATTTGTTTCGGCTGGATTTGGGAGATTGTTGTGGCTTTAATCTCCCCTTGTCCTGGCTAGCATCACCAAGGTTGCCAGTTCAATCCGAAGATTTGCGTTATTGTAGCCTCAATATGGCTCAAGGTTTGTTGCTTAAACCACCTCTTGTTGTTGGTGATTGTAAGTATGGTTTGAATTCCATCATATTTGGAATGCTACTCCCGACAGCTGGCACAACCACTCCCAGGTTGTAGTGTTTTTCAACCAAAAAACAACCACCTTAGGCCAGTAGATCCACAGTTGCCTCAAGGTGATCAGATCTTGCACATGCCACCGGGCGATCCTGGCGGCCCTGGCGGTCTTGGTGGATGGTTTTCCCGAATGCGTAGCAAGGGTTCCCGTTTCACTCTGGGGGTCTGGGGGTTGAGGGTGTGTTCGCTCGACGGTGCGCAACCGTTCGCAGCCCTTCGCAACCGTCCGCGCGAGGTCGCTATGGCCGTGCCTATGGTAAGTTCTGCAGAAGAGGTCACTTTTGGAGGTTTCAACAGTCGCGTTGCTTCGTTTCGCGTGGCAGGCGTGGCACTTCGTGACATTCAGACGTGTTTGTATCGTGTCGAAAATCGTTTTGTGTGGCTTCAGAAGATGAGTTCCAGTTTTCGTGGCAGGCGCAGCACTTTGGACGTGTCCATCTTCATTTTGCGTGGCAGGCGCAACACTTTCGACCTGTTTTGTGGCGTGATTTTTACGAATCGCATTGTCAGGGCTGCGGCAAGTGGTGACAAGGTGCAAATTCTGTGGTAGGCATGGTATTTTGTTGAGATGTGCTGAAAATTGATGGAAGCCTCGCACGAAACATCGATTTTGAGGTAGCAAATTTGGAGGTTCATAAGAAAACTCGTAGGAAAACGTCGATTTTGAAGTTACAAAGTATAAGAATGGAGGAAGTCTCGCATGAAATGCTCGTTTTGATGCTCCAACGTGTCTCGTCTCGAGTCTTTGGTTTTCCTGTGGCCTCGCCGTGTCTATGGGGGAAGCTGCAAAACCTCTCCTTTTCGAAGGTTTCCAAGCAGGTTGTCATGGTGGCAGGCGTGACACTTTGTGACATTCCATTCCAACATGTTTGATAACGTGTCGAAAGTCGTTTTGTGTGGCAGGCGCAATACCTTTGCGTCGTTTTCAGAAGATGAGTTCCAGTTTTCCTGGCAGGCGCAGCACTTTGGAGACCTCTATCGTCATTTTGCGCAGCACTTCAGACGTCTCCTCGCATTGCGTGCTCTACACTCCTCACTCTACACTCCACACTCCACACTTTACACTTACACTTCACACTCCACACTCCACACTTTACACTTTACACTCCACACTTCGCACTCCACACTCTACACTCCACACTCCACACTCGACACTTTACACTCCACACTACACACTCTACACTTTACATTCCACACTTACACTCTACACTTCACACTCCACACTTTACACTCAACACTTTACACTTTACACTCCACACTCTACACTCCACACTCTACACTCCACACTTCACAGTCGACACCAAACTCCACACTCTACACTTTACACTCTACACTTTACACTCTACACTTTACATTCCACACTTTCCACTCCACACTTTACACTTTACACTCTACACTCCACACTCTGCACTCCACACCCCTTGTCACCTTACACTCTACAAGTCACACTCCACACTTCACACTCCACACTTTACACTTCACGTTTTACACTTTACACTCTACACTCTACACACCACACTCCACACTCCACACTCCCCACTTTACACTTTACACTCCACACTTCCACACTTCACGCTTTACACTTGACACTCTACACTCTACACACCACACTCCACACTCTACACTCCACATTCCCCACTTTACACTCCACACTTTACACTTCACGCTTTACACTTGACACTTTACACTCTACACTCCACACCCTACACGCGACACTCCCACTCTACAATTTGCACTCCACACTTTACACTTTACACTCCACACTTTGCACTCCACACTTTACACTCCACACTCCACACTCTACACTTTACACTCCACACTTTACACTTTACACTCGACACTCCTTACTCCACACTGTATATTCCACACTCCACACTCTACGCTCCACACTCTACATTCCAGACTTTACACTTGACACTTCACACTCCACACTTGACACTCCACACCACACTTTGCACTCCACCCTCTTCTGCATTCCACAGTCTACAGTGCAGTGGTACGGTAACAGGGGACAGATGCACAAGACTGTTCAAATAACTTGTTTCACAAAAGTGTTCTACGTGCCTGCGTTTGGGTTCGTGGGCTGCATCTAGATTTTTGACCTTCAACTTTAGCCTTCCAAGTTATCTTAGGCATGAGGCTTTTCATGACGATAAAGTTGGGAAATGTAGTCATATGTTTGATGAAGCCTTCTTGATGACCGGTTTGTAACCTTTTTTCAGGACTCAAACATCAACCAAAACAGAGCAATAATAGAGCCGGGGTTCGAGCAATAAGTGGTCAGAGTCACAGGAATTAGTTATTCATCAACAATGAACAACTCTCAACGCAAATTCATCAAATTGGGATTTGAACTGCCGACAAAAATGAGTTGGATGTCACATGTTTGCTGACTACTCCTTTGGAATGTGCAATTATTGCGTTTCGAAAATGTGTCAAAAGACAATCCCAAATTTCGGTGCCCTTCAGGAATGAATCATGGCAATAGGAACTCAAATTTCTCTACAAACGGAAAATTGATTACCAAAGGGTAAACTATGAAGCCACTGGCCCATGACCCTAATGGACACAAGAACATACAAGAACCATCCGACAGTTGGATTGAACCCCTAATGACGACCATCTCTTTTGGGGCACCAGGAAATCAATCGACGGCATTTTGCCAAGCCGCATGAATCCCGTCAAGATGGGGGATCCCAAAAATGTTTCAAGATTTTTCAAATGAATCTTCAGTATATGTCTTGTCAGATATGTGTCTAAGATAATTTTATTAGTAATTTCAATAATATATATATATATACATGTATACATGAATACATATATATATATTCATTCATTTCATTCTGAAGCAGTTGGGTCATATTATATATATGTACATATGTTAATATTATATATATACATACATAATTTACCATAATATCATATACTATAATATAATAAGATATAATATCATATATAATATCATATCATATCATATCATATGATATCATATAATATCATATAATATAATATAATATTTTATAATATAATATCTTATAATATAATATAATATTATGTTATTTAAAGTAATTTAATATTATATAATTTGATATAATATAATATAATGTAATATAATATATATATATATATATGTGATATGTGTTGTTTGTCCCAGATCATTTCCCACTTTTTTCCCATGACAGGCTTCTGGCAGGTCATCCTGGTGGACTCCAGGTGACTTGGTGCGGTTTTCTTCTTGCTGGACCCATGGTTTCGAGGTGTCTTTAAGGAAGCAGAAACATATTGGGTTAATGTGTGCTGAATATTGGGTTAATATTCGATATAATATTGTTTAATATTGGTGTTTGTATCATAGTGTATTGGATATAATTAATATTGTTTGATATTGGTGTTTAATATTGGTGTTTAATGTTGGCGTAATTTTAATGTTGGAACTGGCCTATCACAACCTTCTGGAGGCTTCTGGGAAGCATGCTGGAGGGAGAAAAGGACACAAATAAGTGGGTCAAATCAGCCAAACATGGATCAAAATGGTACTTATTACCTTCTGGTGAACAAACATAGCTATTGAAAATGACCATTTATAGTGGATTTACCCATTAAAAATGGTGATGTTCGATAGTTATGTTAGTTTACCAGAGGGTAACCCATAAAAAAGCGTTTCAAAGCCAAATTGGGATCTGGGTGAATTATGTTATGCCCGCAGGACCTCACCAGGAATGATGATTGCGGAAACCTGTCAAAATGGATCCGCTTCAAATGTTTGCTTCGTGCATCTTAAGTTTAGAGGGATTGAGCTGACGGAAAGAACATGACATGTTTGACCACTTAAACTTGGGCCACTCGAAAGCTGAGATGATTGGGTCAAAATTTGATAAAATGTAGGAGCTAGGCAGACGTTGATTTATGTTTTTTTTAATATAAACCATCCATTTTTGGGTACCCCACTTCTGAACAGTTCTGCCCCATGCCCAACTATGTTCTTGGGCAGAGTTAAGACCACCAACCACAGGTGGCCCTGAAGGGTTGTCACAAGATATAAGATTTGTGGCTCTTTTGGCCACTAAACGATTCCATCCATATTGAATCCCAGAATTTGTTGCTGAAAATTCCCTTGTTTGTTCCCGGAAGCCTATCAATCATTGTGGCCATCATTTGGAGTCATTTCGGATTATGCAATCTTTATCAAAGCATGCTAAGCCCCGGGTAAGAGTTGAGTTTCGAAAACCTTTAAACAAGGTTAATTCATGTTACTCTGTCCTCAAAACATATTTTACTGTCGGAATTGACGATGTGTCCTTTCTTCTCCTACCTGGGAAGATGAGAATCCGCCATGTTTACCCAAAACAATAAGGCAAAAATATGTAAAAGTCAGCCGCCCATGGTGAAATGGCCCAAGCCAACCCTCCGATCAGGTAGCAGGGGCCCATCATTTTACTCACTGGTTCATCCTAACTAGCTTATAAGCCCAGTCAAGAGGAGGCTATATAACCCTATACTTACCCAACTGTTCATGACCACGTAAAAACTCCCAGTTACGAGTTGTCGGATGAACCGCGAATCAATCCATGGTCTAGCCTGGACAAATTTCGTTTGCTGTTCCTAACTCGTCTAGCCCTGGAATGTGCGGATAGAGTCGCATCCTCACAGCCTCTTTCTTGGGGGGTAAAACATGGTAAAACCCATGGATTTCCTGCAGGTGTCCCAAAATCAGACGATGCCCCGGGCAAGTCCGCCTGCCCTCCAGCAAACAAAGCCATTTGGCTGTGGATCCAGCCTTTCAACAGCATTTTTGGGGGGATGAATAATGAACATCCATTGATCCAAGTTTGTTTTGATGCGAAAACCAGGGGTTTCATGATTTCATGGGTTTTGATTTATGAATTGTCCATCTCAGGTTCCGTGTGGCCTGTGCGCTGAAGGGTTTCCTTCACCTTCACCTGGCAGCCCGCAGCGACAAAGGGCGGGTGCTGGTGCATGACTGGGCTGAGAGCCGGGCACCGAAGTATAAGGACGTCAACATCGCAGCAGTTGAAGCATGTTGGTGGGGAACAACAACGGGTATGTTGGGGCACCCCATTAAAGGTAATATTGAAGATGACGGTATAGAGTTGAAAGCTATGGTTAGCAACCCCATATCATATGATACTTAACTGATTGAAAACGGGTAAGAGCAAGGCACAGGTAATCACAAGTATCAAAAACAAAATAGCATCAACAAACACACACACAAACACGCACATGATTCGCATTAAAAAAAAAAAACGTATTCGGATCAACAAGGATATTGGAGGAAAGAAGGAAGGAGGGTGCGAGGGAGGACGGGGAGTCAGGGGACGAAGGGATTCCGGGAAGGAAGGAGAGGAAGGAAGGCAGTAAGGAAGGAAGGAAAGAATACCCTGCAAGATAAACAAACTTAAATTAAAAAACGCTGCAAAGAGCATGCAAAATGTCAATTTCGGCCTACGAAATGGTGCAGATACAATGCAAAGCGAGAGGTTCCAGTTCCCAAATGCTGCATATACCGTGTCAAGTGAAAGGTTTTAATATGATAACAATATCGTTTAATCACCTACTCAAAGAAGTATGGCTGTGATTAGCAGAGATTGGGATACGATATGATAGAAGCACTTGAACTACACCAAAATAGTGGATATAATATAAGATATAAAGTCCATATTTTTGTGGTTATTACTGGGCTATACAAGGGGTTACTGGCGGGTTTAGCAGGAACTGAAGCCTGGCGGGGCCACTGGGATGAGTTAGCACACTAAATGGGATATGGAGCGCTCATTGAGGGTCAAAGGAAATTCTGCCGAAGATATGTTTCAGTAGTAAGTTATAGTTTCAGAGTTTGTTTCAGAGCCATGACAGCTATGAGGTAGAATTGGTTTCAACCCTTCAGCCTGGCATTGTATTTCCTTGAGACCCAACTGATGCCCAGCTCATGGTTGGTTTTCAAAAAGTTCATCTTTATTGTGTGATGAACGATGAAGATCACGAAACTGGGATGGAGGATATGTTTTTGCTCAACCACCATGATTATATCCTTGTGTTTGTTCCATCAATCCTAGGTGATCCCTATGTTTGGTTGTTATTATTATCATTATTATTATTGTTATTATTATTATATATATGTATTTAATTATGTATATAATTGTGTATATATATAAATAAATATAATATTATATAATATATATATATATATTATATTATATATATTATACTATATATATAATATATTATATATATGTATAATATATATTATATATAATATTATATATGATATATTATATGTATAATATATATATATATAAGATATTAAATATATAGATAATATATATTTATAATATATATCATTTAATATATATATATATATGTAATATAATATAATATATTTAATTTAATTTATAAAATATTATATATGTAATATGTATATTTTATATATTATATATAATATATCATGTATTTAATATAATATATATATATATTTAATATATCATATATAGAAAACATTTAATATGTAATATATATATATATATATTTAAAATATACATACCTTCGACCATTTTATAGCGACATGAAACGATGATTGACCAACTATCTTCAGCCACATTTCTGGCAGATGCTGAGGTCCATCCCAGGTATCACCCAACCAACAGTTGAGCAATTCGAGACCCCGGGAAACCGGCTGATACCCGGCCTGGTAAACATACAAAAAACTATTGAAAATGGCCATATTTATAGTGGATTTACCCAGCTATTAGCTATGGTGATTTTCCATAGCTATGTAAACGTTTACCAGAGGATAATTAAGACGTATCAAACCATTCCAAACGGTAGCCGCCCCATTCCATGTGTGAAAAATCTTGTTGAGGTGGAACACCCACCGCAAATTTCTCCCTGTCCACTGCAACGTAGGAAATCCTGAACTTTGGACAGATGCAACTTCGCTTCTGGGCGTCCAATTGGATTGACATCACGACTTGGTAATTGACATCGCCTCTGGTAATCTAAGTGTTTGCCATGGAAAATTCATAGGCAAACCACTTGCTTGAAAATGGGTCATGTTCCATGACAAGCTGTTAGCCATGGCCAAAGGTTAATTGGGCAAACTGGTCGTGAGTGATTTGGATGTTCCATTTTGTTGCAATGGGTATCGAAGCTCCGGATGTCTTCGCTGTGGATTCACAGTTTGAGAGGACAAATGTGGCCTATGCATGTATATATATATATGCACATACATACCTACCTACCTACCTACCTACGTACGTACGTACGTACATACGTACATACGTACATACGTACATACGTATTGTGTATATATATATACACGGGCAATCCCCTCCTCTTGCCCGCGCCGACGTTCACCACGTGTCCGAACATCAAAAAACACTGTGTTTTGTGGGACAAAATGCGCATGTCCATGATCATAGCTTTCATCTTGCAACGCACAGCTTAGCAACCTGTGCGTTGAATGTTACAACATCATCATTAACATCATCATCATCAACATCATCAACCCCAAACCCTAAACCCAAAAACCCTAAAATCATCTAAAATCCTAAAATAATCTAAAATCCTAAACCCTAAACTCCTTGAACATTCCCTTGAATACAAAGTTTAACGGGTGTGGGGATTTGATGATTCCCTAGAAACTCTTTTGAAACATCTTCAAGATTCCCTTGAATCAATAATATCCTTTGAACCCCTAAAAAGTTGCGTGTGGGCGAAAGGGGGATTTGCGTATATATATATATATATTTATATTTATATTTATAGAGATATATACGTATATACGTATATATATATATATGTATATATATACAAATATATAACTATATATATATACATATTATGTAAATACCCCAAAACAGTCTTGAGTCCTAGATGGTCAAATTCTAAGGGTTTGCTTCAGTTTTGACTCCATGGTGTATTTCGCAAGAAGAGCGAAACTATTCTGAAGTGTCGACACGCATACCTTATCACTATGACTTCATAATATTTCATATATAGTATTTTCGACATTGGTGACATATTATGAAATCATAATGATAATAGTTCACATATTTTTTTAAATTTATCTATCACTACTACGTCATAATCGTTCATCATCTCTGGGTTGGTTTGACACGTGTTGAGCTTACTCACGTTTCCCCTGTCTTGGGGATGATGATCAAGGTCTCATGAAATTTCAATGACCCAACATGTTTCTGCGTTTTATTGGAGTCGGTCTTCTGTGTTCCAAAGATTCGAGACATGCGGACATGTTGCAAGGAAAATGGTTTGGTTTTCCGTTATCCCTTCAAAATTGCCATGACTTTGGGTATATCTTTGGAGTATTGTGAGCCAACCTTTTTGTTTTCCTTCGTTTCCCCTTTTTCAACCTGTGCTTCACCGGTCCCACCACAGGGATTGCCAGCATGGCGGTTTTCCAAGCGCGGCCTCTGCAGCGGCTGGATGAGTTGCGTGCCGCCATTCGAAGATTTGAATACGATCCCGCCTGAGTGCCTGGAGTGCGATGCAGGGGGACTCCATTTTATCATCCAGTCATCATGGATGACTGGATGGCTGGATCTCAAAGCTATGGTTTTTCGGGATTGTCTATTCTAGGAAACACCCAAATATCGTAAGTGACTTGAAGAGCTTTGAAATTTTAGACACAGAGACACTTCGCATGATTCGGGTTGAAGTTTACCGGTTGGTTAGTTGACGTAGCTATATCATCATTGTTAATAGTTAAATCATTACAAATTATCTATAAATGGGCCATGTTCATCCATTTGCCAGTTCGCTATGCTCAACAACTCGAGGGTAGTTATTGATACTTTTTATCAATGTCTATGGGACAGCTGAAAACCATCCAGCTGGCAATGGTTCCTTTTTTCAGAAAGGCATGGTAGCCAGCACTAGTAGTCACTAGCCAAAAACATGCGGGGCCTAGGCTCAGTTCGAACGCCAGGTTGTGACAGGAGTGGAAACTAATAGAGTTTTTGTTGATGGAAAATAGACCAAAACTACAATTGACATACATTTATATAAATACTGGCACTTGGGACAATGGGACAACTGCTAACTGATCCTTGCCAGAAAGAAAAACCGATCTGAGGTTCAGCACACGAAGCATGGATGATGGAAGATGATCCCGCTAAAAATGAGGGCGTTTTTTTGAGGCGTTCAGAAAGGACCTGGCAGCTTCTTTTTGAACGGGTCCCCAAGAGATGACATGTCTTTTTTGAAGGAAGATCATGAAATGATCTTGCCTAGAAATGTTCAATGACTTGTGAATTACCCCTCGGTTAACTGTGAATCACTACGAACTGCTTGGGAAGATAAATCACTTGGCTTCCAGGGTTGATCGTCAGATTTGGGGGTGCCCCATTATTCCAAGACAAACCTAAGTGGTGTCGGCAATGCTCAGCTGGTAGATTCATGTTTAGAGACTGATGAATCACTTCCCCTTATAATAATCAATAAATGCAAAAAAACAGTTTGACATGGTTTAACTATATATATATATACACACATAACTATCCTACAATGGGAATACAACCATACCCCCTTACATGGACGCCGACAACGAACAAATCCAATACAGAACCAAGCAAGTTTTCCTGGGGGCTATTAAGCATATTATAGATCGATATCGCCCAGGCGGTTCCAACAGAGTGTCTTTTTTGACAGGTTTGAATGGATTGGGAACAAATATGGGCATGACTGGATAGTGAGAATGTTCCGGATGAAACTGGTGATTTGGGGGGTTCGTCCCATTTTCAGACACACCCGAATATACATAATTAAACATAGACGTATATGTACGGCCATGATTTTCAACAGATACCGCAGTGCAGCCAGATAGGCACCACAACAGGCCTAGAACAGACCTGCCGGTGATAAGCAAAACTTGAGAAAACATGGCAATGTTTGACCAAAAACCCTTTTTTCCCAGTGATTGATCTTTTTTTGGGGTTGAAACATGGCCATGGCTACAGCGACTTTCCATAGCCACATCGGCTCGAGCCCGCAATGGAAAGTGGATGAAGATGGCCGAGAGATGATTCGCCAAAAATGGTAAGAAAACCACAGCTATGTGAGATTACCAGAGGTTATTCTTGTGGATAATTTGACCAAATCCTCTTGTTTTGTCAAGTAACCCCAGTGATCAATAGTGATCAGAGGGCGTTTCACTCAAAAAAGTGTTTTATTTGTAGAACAGAGAACATGTACTGCTTCAGTTTAAGCACGTAGCTAATTAGTAGCTAGTCATTGATCAATTTATTTTTTGGTATTTTTGGTGGTACCACAAATCATTGCAAGAGATTTTTGGCGGATTTCTGGGATTGGTGGGGGACATCGGTGGTCATCTACCTGGATCTTCAAAATACAATGAGTATTAAAAAAAAACACGGGTATTTGGATGTGGTATTTAATGAATTTGACATTTTGATGTATCTATACAGAAGTGTCCATATATATATATATATACACATATTTATATGTATAAATATATATATATATAGATATATATATATAGATATATATATATAGAGTATTTCTGTAAGGAAAAACAAGGATTGGGGACTTCTGTTGTACTCACCTACCTTTCTACCATCGGAAAAAATAAAATTGTGGCGCGCGAACCCCGAATCGCTGCCGGCGACGACTTGTCGTCCATGGTGCCGCGACTTCACCATGAGTCAGGCAGGGGGCGGTGTGCGACTTTGGCATGGACCATATGTCACATGTTCCATGGTCAATTTGTCTTTACTCATTAAACTGTAGGGATTTTTCCAGAGACATTTGTGGAACATTTTTTTTGGGATATATAACGAACTACAATCAAGAGTTGGATTGTAGTAATTGTAGTACCTGTTTTTGAGGGATGGTCCGGTCATCAATCCATGGATTCCGGATACGGCATGGATGACCATGACCCATGAAACACACGGCATTCCTTATGAAACCACTTAAATACTGTGAGAGTCAAGAAGGAACATGCGAAATTCCATGGACGAGAATTGGGATAATCATATAGGGTATGTATATAATATATATATATATAACATAAATCCTTATTATACATCATGGAAAATCCCTATTATTGTATATATAGGTATATATTGTATATATGATCCCTATTATACATCATTGAACATGGATCTGAATGGATTGACGACTGGATAGTCATACCCAATGATCATATGTGTGGATCCATTCATTGGATCCTGCAGGGAGTTAACGTTGGATCAGCGACGTCACGTATATAACTTGCCACCAGTTGGTTACTATAACTATTAGGAAAATCGTGAGCTGTTTACAAAACCATCCTAAGTAAAGGATGAGACTTGGGTTCCCCATGTCCACAGAAAACTCTGCAGCCAGGGGGCCCCCCCAAATCTCATGGATCATCATCATGGAACCCCGTGAATCCTGAAAAAGATGGAACCCCAAACATGAAAATTCGGAACATTGAAATCATATGAAATCATTGGTTTCTGGATTTTCTGATTTTCCAAAAAACATGAGCAATCTCGGTTGCCAGATTCATGGAGCATCACGTGATGTGCTAGTTGACTGGCTGGACCTTGGATAGTGCTTCATATGTTTGCTATAAAATCGTGGAAGATACAGCGAATACCTTTTTTAATGTGTTCTAAGGGTATCTCATCTTATTTATGTTGAGAATTCAGATGTTGAATCATGTTGACTCTCACGATTGGTCGATCCGTATGTATGCCTTTTTATCACGTGGCGGCTGTTGCGCTCCTGCCAATCCTAGCTCGAAAATCTCCTGATGAGTTTTCCAATGAGACATCAAAAACCATGGAAGGAGAACGAAGCAGATAGACCCGAATGGATAGAGGTTATCCAAACTATGGTTTTTGGAAGACCCATCAATGATCAAAACCATAGATGTCCTTGGTTTGGTTTAATAGACGTGTGAACCCCAATAAATATCAACAAACAATTTTACAGTCTCAAAACTCCAACGGCCTTCAGCCCTATTTTCTCGAACAAAATGCCTGTAGAATGAATCAGACGATGCTAAGTGTTGGAATCTTTCCAGACTCCCCCAAGTTGCAATGTTCTCACTGCAACTTTCACGCCAAACAACTTCGTGTTGGCCCAAGGCATTTGATCTTTACATGTTCTTCTCTTTGTAGTAGTGATACATCTTTGTCAGAGTCTTCTTTGAAAACCCTTTTCCTGCCCATTCATGTTGGAACTTGTTCCATGGATTTTTGATATCCGTCTCCCTTTGAGGGGACTGTGGAACATTTCTCGGTCCTACGGCACCTGCAGAGCCCGACCTTGAAGGCGAAGATTCAGCAGCTTCAGCAGCGCTTGCCAAGCCCGACGTTGAAGGGCAAGAGCTGGACATAGATCCGGCTGCACGCTCACCATGCGATGAACCATGCACAGCCACCCCAGACTTGCGCCCCATAGTTCCAGAGCCACGCGTGGTAGCGGAGCATACAGCGCCAGTACCACTCATTAGATCGCCCGCAGAACTGCTCGGCAAAGGTGAAGTCGCCAAGCCATCATCATGCTGCGAGCCCGACTGTATCGTTATATTCAAAGTCGTAGAGCCCCTTTGAGAGGAAGATGAGCCTTTGCCGCGCTTGACTCTGATCCGGTCTCCTCCTTCAGTTTCAGCTTCACCGTGAAAACTTCGGCGATTATCCTCTTCAAAGCTTTGTGAAGGCCCCTGCAATCGTCTCAGGCAGCAATGCATAGTTCGCACGGCTAACTGCCCAACGTAGATTGCCCCAAAGGCCATCAGCACAGCTCCGCAAGCCCAAATGGTTGCTGAATCGGCGTCGCCATCAGTCTCCTCAGCGGCATCCATGCCTGAAAGCAGAAGACTTCCAACCATCATCGCTGCCACCGCAGCACTCGAAGATTCATCTCCTTGAGGTTCAACATCATTTCTTTCGCGTCTCATCCCAAGATCTGTCAAGAAGGATGAAAACGCTTGGCCTAAAAGCGGCTTAGTCAAGCCATCGGCCACCAGTTCCACTCCTTTGAAGTGCAAGAGGCGCCACAATCCACCTGGAGCTCGTCCTTCAAGGGCTTCACGAAGGTAGGAAGAGCGTATGCGCAGATGGCGCGTCCTCCATGATGCACTGCTTGTGCCATGCGCCAAGCCAATTGCAGCGACATTGTCGCCATACATCACCCTTTCTATGGCATTGCTCCCACATGGGACTCCCATCATCGTTGCCAGCATCGCTTCTGTAGAGCGTCCTGCATTAAGAGCATCGCAGTATGCCACCAACTCACTCTCAGCTGTTGAATGAGTGACAAAGGGCTGCACTGCTGTTTGCCAGCTGATGATGGCTCCGGCAAAAAAGATCGCCATCCCCTGGATGCTTCGTCCACGAGAGCCAGTGCCATAGGCAATATCTGAGAAGACCTCGAGGAGCTTGACACTGCGCGCAATCTTCAATTGACTGCGCTCCCCCCAGATCTTTTTCGGAGCTTCACTGGAGTATTGAAGACCTCC